TTTGATTTCAGTACTAGTCCAGATCATCATAGACCAAACTATATAAAGGATAAGATTTTTTTAAATTTCTTTTGTTTTTTTTTTTTGATATGGAGTTTTGCTCTTGTTGCCCAGGATGGAGTGCAATGGTGCGGTCTCGGTTCACCACAACCTCTGCCTCCTGGGTTCAAGCGATTCTCCTGCCTCAGCCTTTCTAATAGCTGGGATTACAGGCATATGCCAGCATGCCTGGCTAATTTTGTATACAAATTTCACTTTCTAAAATATGTAGTGTCTGAAATGCTTACTAAAATCATGTACTGTTCTGTAAGTAGAAGAGGAAAAAATGGTGGTTTGTTTTTGAGATGGAGTTTTCCTCTTTTGCCTAGGTTGGAGTGAAATGATGGGATCTCAGCTCACTGCAACCTATGTTTCTCAGGTTCAAGCGATTCTCCTGCCTCAGCCTCCTGAGTAGCTGGGATTATAGGCACATGCCATCACGCCCAGCTAATTTTTGTATATTTAGTAGAAATGGGGTTTCACCATGTTGGCTAGGCTGGTCTCAAATTCCTGACCTCAGGTGATCCACCTGCCTCAGCCTCCCAAAGTGCTGGGATTACAAGCATGAGCCACTGTGCCAAGCCCAAAAATGTTTTAAAGAAAGAAAAATTTTGCCAAGACTTTTAAGCTTAGACAACTGTGAGAAGATGATGTCATTTACAGAAATAGGGATCACAGAAGGAAGGCATTAAATGAAGATGGAAATCTCCAATTTCTTTATACTAAGTCTAAAATGTTCACAGAATATTCTGAAGGCATTGGCTGGAAGGCAGCTATATATATAACTAGAACTTGGAAGACAGGGTGTAGTACAGGTCTAGTAAACAGCCACATATAATAAGAACAAATCTTAACGTGTGCAATGGATTATATTGTTTACTAAAAACAATGGCAAAAAATCACTAAGCTGTCCCCAGGGAAAAAACTGCTCAGGGTGTTCTAAAATAGTGAACTATACACAGGACATGCATTGGTTAAGCCAGTTCTTTTTTTTTTTTTTTTTTTTTTTTTTTGAGACGGAGTTTCGCTCTCGTTACCCAGGCTGGAGTGCAATGGCGCGATCTCGGCTCACCGCAACCTCCGTCTCCTGGGTTCAGGCAATTCTCCTGCCTCAGCCTCCTGAGTAGCTGGGATTACAGGCACGCGCCACCATGCCCAGCTAATGTTTTGTATTTTTAGTAGAGACGGGGTTTCACCCTGTTGACCAGGATGGTCTCGATCTCTTGACCTCGTGATCCACCCGCCTCGGCCTCCCAAAGTGCTGGGATTACAGGCTTGAGCCACTGCGTCCAGCCTAAACCAGTTCTTTAAACACCAAACGAGTAACTTAGCCCCCATTGCTCCCTCGTAAAAAATGCTTTCTAGTTTGTCTTTAATTAGCAGTAAACAAGCACTAGCTGCCTGCCTAGTTTATTCTATAAGTTTTTATTCTATAAAAAAACAGAAAACACCTGCTCATTAAAAATAATCACTTATTAACAAAAAATAAATATGTGGGTCAAAGTATGCTCTGGGCTCTGAGTTCAAAATGCTGTTAGCGGGCCGGGCGCGGTGGCTCAAGCCTGTAATCCCAGCACTTTGGGAGGCCGAGGCGGGTGGATCACGAGGTCAAGAGATCGAGACCATCCTGGTCAACATGGTGAAACCCCGTCTCTACTAAAAATACAAAAAATTAGCTGGGCGTGGTGGTGCGTGCCTGTAATCCCAGCTACTCAGGAGGCTGAGGCAGGAGAATTGCCTGAACCCAGGAGGCGGAGGTTGCGGTGAGCCGAGATCGCGCCATTGCACTCCAGCCTGGGTAACAAGAGCGAAACTCCGTCTCAAAAAAAAAAGGAAAAAAAAAAAAAAAAAATGCTGTTGGCCCCCTAATTCCCACTTTGCACTCTATCTTTGTGTCTAACTCTTAATTCCTTCAGCACTGCCTGGGTTGGGATCTCCACAACCAAGCTAGTCTCAGCACACATGGGTGATGGGTGAAGCCAGTGACTGTCCAAGGAGAAAAAAAAGAGGACCAAACCAAATTTGGAGCTCTGGGGAAAACCTGCCTTAAGGAGAAAAGAAAGGAATCAGCAGGGTGTGGTGGCTCATGCCTGTACTCCCAACACTTTGGGAGGCCGAGGCGGGTGGATCAGGAGGTCAGGAGATATTTCGTAGAGACGGAAAGCCCATCTCTACTAAAAATACAAAAAATTAGCCAGGCCTGATGGTGTATGCCTGTATTCCCAGCTACTTGGGAGGCTGAGACAGGAGAATTGCTTGAACCCAGGAGGCAGAGGTTGCAGTGAGATGAGATCGTGACACTGCACTCCAGCTTGGGTGACAGAGTCTAAGAAAGACTCTGTGTAAAAAGACTATATAAAAAAAAGAAGAAAAGAAAGAAATCAGAGGCGGGAGTAAGAGGGAAGTCCAGGTGAAGGGGACAGGAATTCTGAACTGATTCAGGAAAAGAACCACTGGAACAGCCACATTGTCTTCAGATCGTGGCTTTACACTTATACAAGGAAAGCCTTGTCTGGGCTAATGGTGCTCTTGACCTTGAACTGCACAAAGTGAGCACTCAATAACATTAGTGATTAGAAGTCACTGCTGTGTGTAGTCCTTAGCATGGATGTCATCTTGTGCTGTATGCACTATTAGTCCGTTGAAGGCATGGTCTGGGTTTAACCTCCAACTTACTCCAAGCCTTGAATTTACAGCACCTTATACACAGCAGGGGTATCCTAACTCTTTTTTTTAAAAAAAAAAAAAAAAACATGGGGTTTCACCATGATGGCCAGGCTGGTCTTGAACTCCTGACCTCAGGTGATCCACCCACCTCAGCCTCCCAAAGTGCTAGGGTTACAGGCATGAGCCACTGTCCTTTTTTTTTTTTGAGACAGAGTCTCACTCTGTCGCCCAGGCTGGATTGCAATGGTGCAATCTTGGCTCACTGCAACCTCTGCCTACTGGGTTCAAGTGACTCTCCTGCCTCAGCCTCCCAAGTAGGTGGGATTACAGGCGTGTGCCACCGCACCCAGCTAATTTTTTTTGTATTAGTAGAGATGGGGTTTCATCATGTTGGCCAGGCTAGTCTTGAACTCCTGACCTCAGGTGATCCACCTGCCTCAGCCTCCCAAAGTGCTGGGATTACAACTATGAGCCACCACATCCAGCCTCCTGACTCTTTAATGGCTAGACTCTTGTCACCAAGACAGAGCCAAAAAAGAAAGGAAACACGGAACACATCCCTAAGCTCTCTTCTATGAAGCTTTACTTTTAAGGCCATATGAACCTGTAATGAAATAAAAGGGCTTTCCTATTCATTTCATTCCCAGGAACTGAAATTACTATCAGATTCCTTCCTGATTTATACTCTCATTGTATCTAGCCAATATTTAAGCCTCATCACAGCAACCTTTTCATTTTGTCCTATCTGATCTATAATCTCTCCATGATCAAGCACTTCATAAATCTCTTTATAATATCAGTGCTGCTTGGTTTAAGCTTTCTAGCATGATCAATCCTTCACATGTCACTATTAGAAGACATGCTGGAGCCGGGCGCGGTGGCTCAAGCCTGTAATCCCAGCACTTTGGGAGGCCGAGGCGGGTGGATCACGAGGTCAAGAGATTGAGACCATCCTGGTCAACATGGTGAAACCCCGTCTCTACTGAAAATACAAAAAATTAGCTGGGCATGGTGGCGCGTGCCTGTAATCCCAGCTAGTCAGGAGGCTGAGGCAGGAGAATTGCCTGAACCCAGGAGACGGAGGTTGCGGTGAGCCGAGATCGCGCCATTGCACTCCAGCCTGGGTAACAAGAGCGAAACTCCGTCTAAAAAAAAAAAAGAAGACATGCTGGATAACCCTGAGCTTAATTATTACTCAGTGTTAATAATAATTGACACAGTAAGATCCATTAGTTAAAAAATTTATTAAATAAAAATTTCAAGTAATTAATTTAAAAAAAACACGAGGTAGAAACAAAACTTTTAACATATCTAACATTCATTTAAAAAAAAAAAAACCTCAAGAGAAATGGAAGATTTCCAAACCCCGGAAGAATGTTACCCCAAAAATCTGTGATAACAGATTTTAACCTGTGTTAAAGATTTTAACATTTATTAAAATCTGTTACCATATAACTAATCACTTTGAGGCAATTTTGTTTTACAAAACATCTTTACACAGAAAGGGAAAACTGAGTGATGCCCCCAAACATAGGGGCATATGAACATAAGTGAAAATAGGAATATACTTTTAAAATTTATCAATTCAGAAAACAAAATTTGTTCTCAAAAAATGATGTAAGAATTATTATTTTTTAAATATCAAAGCCTACCTTAGAGGCCGGACGCGGTGGTTCAAGCCTGTAATCCTAGCACTTGGAGAGGCCAAGGCAGGCGAATCACTTGAGGTCAGGATATCAAGACCATCCTGGCCAACATGGTGAAACCCCGTTTCTACTAAAAATACAAAAATTAAGGCCGGGCGTGGTGGCTCACACCTGTAATCCAAGCACTTTGGAGGCCAAGGCGGATGGATCACCTGAGGTCAGGAGTTTAAGACCAGCGTGACCAACATGGCGAAACCTCGTCTTTAAAAAAATAAATAAAAATAAATAAATAAATAAAGTAGCTGAGTATGGTGGTGTATGCCTGTAATCCCAGCTACTTGGGGGGCTAAGGCAGGAGAATCGCTTGAACCCGGGAGGCAGAGATTGCAGTGAGCCAAGATCGCACCACTGCACTCCTGTCTGGTGACACAGTGAGACTGCATCTCAAAAAAAAAAGAAAATCTCCTCTAGAATACGGAAAACTGAAAATAAAAAGGGGGATAGTAAGGGAGGATAGGAAATTAACTGGAAGTAATAAATTCATGTCATAACTTAAAAGACTAGGTTTAGAGTGAAAATACATCTGATACCAGAAAAAATCCTACCAAAATGTCTTTTGGATTAGGGACCTCAAAATACAGAAAAGAATCACACCTATGTTCTCATCATCACAAGACTGTGCTTAAATGATAAAAAAAAAAAAAAAAATCAAACCCCTTTATCCAGTCTTTCAAATAAAGTTCTTACAATGATACCTACAAAATCAAATTAGTCCTGAAATGTCTGATTTAAAAGTTTAAAGCTCAGAGTCAAAAGTTAATCCATCTTCAAAGCTGGTAAACATTTATCAAACTCTCTAGATCAGGCAAAAATACATGTATAGTACCCATAAATTCAGACTTTTCACAGTTTGGGGTATACCTGTGCTTAAAACCATAAATACTGCGTTAAATTTTGTAAGGTGATAGAATTTTCTGTTTAGGCACTAGCTAGAGTAGACGCTGCTCTAGTATGAAAAGGCAAGGAAAATAGTGCTTTATTTTCTGTGAAAATCACCCAATATGTGGCAAAGACTTTCATGTTCTCTTGATGGAAGATCAATGATGTAAAACAAATTAAGGAAAAGATCTTTAGCACAATATAGAATGGCATAAATTTATGACATTATTATTTAACATTCTGTAATTTGGTTTAAAGAACCACAAAAAAAATAAGGATCTTCATGGCATTCTGTGAATAACTATGCCCTTAAGCAATAAGGGTTATTTATCTTAGCCTAAGAACTTTATACACATTTTTTAAAAATGATCTATTTTAAGGCCAGGTACAGTAGATCACCTCCTCTCTACTAAATATTTAAAACAAAATAGCCAGGCGTAGTGGTACATGCCTGTGGTCCCAACTATTATGAAGGCTAAGGTGGGAGGATTGATTCCAGGAGGTCAAGGCTGCAGTGAGCCATGATCCTGCCACTGCACTCCACACTGAGTGAAGGAGTTAGCTACCACCTCTTGGAGACAAAAAAAAAAGGCTGGGTACGGTGGCTCACACCTGTAATCCCAGCACTTTGAGAGGAGGCGAGTGAATCACTTGAGCCCAGGAGTTCAAAACCAGCTTGGGCAACATGGTGAAACACTGTCTTTACAAAAAAATACAAAAATTAGCTGGGCATGGTGGCATGCACCTGTGGTCCCAGCTACTGGGGAGGCTGAGGTGGGAAGATCACTTGAGCCTAGGAGACTGATGCTGCAGTCAGCTCTGATCATATCACTGTACCCCAGCCTGGGTGACAAAGCAAGGCCCTATAATGAGAAAAAAAAAAATCTTAAAACTAAAAAATTAAAGGCCGGGGGCCGTGGCTCATACCTATAATCCCAGCACTTTGGGAGGCCTAGGCAAGAGGATCGCTTGAGCCCACAAGCTCGAGACCAGTTTAGGAAACATAGTGAGAGCTTTCATTTATACAAGTACATAAATGCAACAGTGCAATCAAATGTGACCATATACAGAACAAAAAGGATATTAATTTTTCCGAGTTTAAATGATCAAGTAGCTTCTCCAAAGGAGGATAGCAGTTTAGTGAGGGCACGCACCCCAGGAGAATCAGTTTATGTTTGGCTCTGGTTATAGCAACATTAAGACGTCGCCAATCTTTCAAGAGTTCACCAACCTATAAGAAATATAATTTTCAATTATTCAAGTTCAAAGAAATGGTTAAATATATTGCAACAAATCCCTATACAATAGACAACTTTGCAAATTTAAGAATAGAATGCGGCCAGGCGTGGTGGCTCACACCTATAATCCCAGGACTTTGGGAGGCCAAGGTAGGAGGATCACTGGAGACCAGAAGTTCAAGACCAGCCTGGGCAACACAGCAAGACCGCATTTCTATAAAATATATAAAAATTAGCCAGACATGGTTGTGTGCACCTGTGGTTGCAGCTACTCAGGAGGCTGAGATGAAAAATCACTGAGCCAGGGCTGTTTAAGCCCAGGAAGTCAAGGATGCAGTGGGCCATAACCATGCCTCTACCCTCCAGCCTGGGTGACAGAGGAAAACTGCCTCAAAAATAAATAAATAAATAAAAGGAGACTATCTGAGGTAAGAACTGAGTAGATGAAGGATGGAGTACAAAGGAAACCTTTTATTATGTATATTTGTATATTTTTATTTATTTTATTTTTTGAGACAGAGTCTCACTCTGTTGCTCAGGTTCAAGTGCAATGGCATGATCTCGGCTCACTGAAACCTCCGCCTCCTGGGTTCAAGCAATTCTTCTGCCTCAGCTTCCTGAGTAGCTGGGACCACAGGTGAGCGCTACCACGCCTGACTAATTTTTTGTATTTTTAGTAGAGACGGGATTTTACCACATCAGCTAAGCTGGTCTCGAACTCGTGACCTCATGATCCACCAGCTGTCGGCCTCTCAAAGTGCTGGGATTCCAGCTTGGAGCCCCGGGCCCGGCCCGTTTTTGTTTCTTTAAGATGGGGTTTCACCATGTTGGTCAGGCTGATCTTGAACTCCTGGCCTCAGGTGATCCACCCGCCTTGGCCTTCAAAGTGCTTGGATTACAGGTATGACCCACCATGCCCGGCCTATTATGTATATTTTCAAACCATATGGATGTATTATACAGTTGAGAAAAATGAACTAAGGAGAGGTAAAAATAAGAAAAACAAAAAAACATTTCAGGTGGGCCGGGCGCGGTGGCTCAAGCCTGTAATCCCAGCACTTTGGGAGGCCGAGGCGGGTGGATCACGAGGTCAAGAGATCGAGACCATCCTGGTCAACATGGTGAAACCCCGTCTCTACCAAAAATACAAAAAATTAGCTGGGCATGGTGGCGCGTGCCTGTAATCCCAGCTACTCAGGAGGCTGAGGGAGGAGAATTGCCTGAACCCAGGAGGCGGAGGTTGCGGTGAGCCGAGATCGCCGAGATCGC